CTTTGTAAGCCATTCATAAACTTGGAGAACATTCTTGAGTTGAAAAAGATGAGAAAGAGGGAGTCACAGCATAGTCTGTGGATTTGAGCTGTTTACAGCGGGGACTATATGTGATTGGGGAGCAGGAGGAAAGAAAGCATTAGCTTAAGCCTCTTCCTAAAAAATTTAACAGAGGCTATGAAATGTGTGTATTAGTTGTCAATTCAACATAGCTGTGTTGTTTATATAGCTAGCATGTGACTGGCTATAAATAGCATGTGGCTCTCTGTGCCTCAGGTAAATTCGATGAAAATACAAAGAAAAGGTTTTTTCCTTCTAATGTTGCTCCTTGGTCTCCCTTGCAGAGTTGATAAACCAGGTTGTTCCGCAGTGTTTACAGCTTAATTAACTTTGATAGTTAAAAAGATTGTGAGCTAACCCATCTGCAAATCGCCTATGGGAGAAGCAAGCATCCTTTAATTAATCCTGAGGAAGTGCAGTGTCAGCTGAACCCAGCATTGATAACCTGTATAGTTTAAAAAAAAAGGCAAGATAGTATTAAGAAGTTGAGTTGTTAAATGTTAATTTCAAAAACAGTGAATGATTAATTGAGAATATATATGGGCAAATGACATTGAGATTTACTGAAATAGCCAATTTGTCTGGTGCTTAAATTATTGTGCAGTAAGCCTTCAAGTTAATAGAGGATGGCTTCCTGCTAGCAGGAAATCTTTATCTTCTTGAGTACCTGAACCAGGCTCAAGATGTCCTTTGGGAATAGCTAGGATTAAAGTTCTTAATTTCTCAGGAAGAGCTCTTATGTGTCGCAAGGACTCCATGCAAGGTAAAATGACAATTTCTTCATTGCTACAGAACACTCACTAGACGTTATTAAATGAGTGTAATACTGGCCCTTTCATCACCCAACAGGAGACCACCCCAGTTCTTATTTTTTTGGTTTCTTCTCCCTTTGTAAGAAAGAGATACCTTTTGTAGAAAAAAAAAATTGGTTTATGCCAAGTAGAGGTGAATTTATAGAAACCAGCTTCCAGGCATTTTTGAAACCCATGCTGAAATCCCTCCCCTTGTTACAGATGGTGTAGAAGTCACAAGTCTGTTAGACTGTTTCTTCTCTTGCCTGTTGTTTCTGCTTTCTGTATTTCTGTCTGGATAGTCAGGAAAAGATTTAATGTTTAATATTTAAACAAAATATTTAATGTCTACACAGTAAAATTATTCAAACTTCAAACCAGTATTGAAACCAGTTGGAAACCAGCTAATAGTTTCTTAATCTCAAACTTAGAGATGAATGTAAACTGTATTCTGTTGAAATGTGCAAGTGTTTGATTCATGCAGTTTGAAAAACTCCTGCCTTGAGGTCATTGTTTAATGGGACCAACTTGTAAAGTTTATAGCCTTAAAGAAATCTCTGTGCTAAACGTTTGTTTTAGTACAACTCAAAAGCATGAAGGGACTTACTAAGGTTTGGAGTTAGTCCCAGTGTTAGGGTGGAAAGGCAGATGGCAGCTTTCCAAAGACAGATCCAAAACACACCAAGAGTATCTTCTGTGGAAATTGTCGAAAGGAGCCTCTGATCAGGGGTCTGCACCATGAGAAGGGAGGGAGAGCTCCAAAATGAGGCTCTAATACAACGGGTAACATAGGGGACAATTGAGATTCTGTTAATTAAAATCCAAGCATTTGTTTCTGAGTCAAGTTATCTGACAAAATTATTTCTGCAGGAAAATGGATGTTTAATGCTCATGTTTGGACTTTTATATTCTTGCGTATGTTTGTACAAAAATTTTCTTCATCATCCTTGTGGTGCTTATTCATCTGAGCCGTCTCCACCGCCCCAGTACATTTTATTTTTCTTTTGTAGCATAAGGCTTTTGCTTTTGTCTTCAGGTTTCTCTTGGGAATTAACAGATCTTTTTGTTTTGTACAGTTTTTGCGGCATGGATCAAACATTGGCTTACGATGCTAATGTGTGAAGAGAAAAAAAAATAATCTAAAGCAGGTGAGCTTTAATGAACAAATGTGTATTTTCCTCTGAGTTTGAATAGGGTGTGTGCGTGTATGTGTGTGGTGTTTTTTGTTTTTTTTTTTTAATTTGAAGAAAGTCCAGTTCTCACAAATATTAATCGGTTTTTTTCAGTGCTACTCATTCTAGAACCAGGTACAATGTAAAATTTAGAAAAATTAAGAAGGTAGGGGTTAGAACCATGAGAAAAATTTACCAGCAGGTTCATTTGTTCTTTTGGATCTGGAACTTGGTTTTGTTTTTGGTGCAGTACTAGAAAAGTTCTGGAAGATGCTGTCATTTTTACTTTAAAATGAGAATCTGGTGTTTCTGTATTTTATCATTTTTAATAAAACTTCTTAAGTGTTTCGGACTTTTTGAGACATTTGTATTCCTGCACTTAAGTAAATGAAATAGCTACTCTCTTTGCTTTCCTCTAAGATGTGATTGAAGCAGCATTCATATCAATGAGGAACATAAATTGTCACGAATGGATGAGTATTTTGGATTAAAGATAAATTTCATAGCTGAGATTAGCAGGAAGCAGACTGTGTTTTGCCATTCTGAAACCTGTAGAATGCTTCCCACTGAGAGCAACTCACTAATGTGGATTGTCAGTATTAGAAAGCAGTTATGATCATGTTAAAAATGTTCAATTCTGAAACTGGAAATGGTTTCTAGAGTTCACAAAGAAGGGTTTGGGATCTTCAAGAATGAGGGATAGGAAAATTCTATGATGGTTAGTTACATGCTTACGAGTTGACAGGTCGCTGGGTGGCAGTGTTGCTTGCATATTTGTGGTCATTCTTTGATAAATGTGGATCCCTGACTTGCTGGAGAGGGGAAGTTACCTTTGGCTTATAGTTAACAGAAAGCAAAAGATACTGTTTTGTTTTTAACCAAAATTGAAAATAATAGCTAGAAGTGATGCTTTAGTATTATAATCCAACTCAGATCCAGGGTTCTTCTTGGTCAGTTGGTTTTACAGAATCTTTTTGTAGCAGTACCTAATATGTCATTTAGATTTCATTGAAATGGTATGGTTCAGAGGTGGACACAGTGGTGCCCATCTGCAAACTCAGCTACTCAGAAGGCTGAGGCAGGAGGATTGCAAGTTTGAGGCCAGCCTTGGAAACTTAATGAAACCCTGTCTCAATGTAAAATGAGTGAAAAGGATGGGATGTAATTCAGCAGTAAAACACTCCTGGGTTCAATCCTTAGTGCAGCCAAGAAGTGTTGAGACTTGAGCTCCAGCGAAACAATGATGTCTTTCAACACCCATTTGGTGTGTCAGCCAGCGATAGAGTCCCAAGTCACAGGGGTATAGAGTCTTAAACTAGAATTTGATACTTTAAAATACTCCTGGAATAGGCATTGTTACCGTCTGCCTATTTGTCTCAGCTCCAGTAGCACCTCTAGTAGAAAAGCAAGGAGGAAATGATTGTAGGCATCTTGTCACTTGCATCTTTAATGTTAATCATGAAACACCCCTTTGCATGTAATAGAGCTCTTGTTTTGGTGTTATGGAAAAATCTTGATTTTTAGTTAAAACCATTCAATTTGGTGTTTCAATATGAAAATGTCCTTGAGTACCAGGTGTTTTCTCAAGGCTGAGCAGTGTTTAGTAATTCTCACCCATCTGTTCAGGAAATGAAAACTACTCAGGTTACATATGTCCTCTCCTGTTGGCACAGCTGCCTCTTTCATATGATGCCATTTCATGTAAATGACTTGAGCTTCAACCTCCAGATGCTTGTGCTGTTGTGGGAGGACAGAAATGCCTCTGTGAATGCACTGGCTTACTTAAAGAGATATCTGGCCCTCAACTTTTCATAGTGAATGAGGCAAGATAGTTTTCAACCGTGGGGACAACTGGAGACCATCCTTACATTTGCAATATAGAAACAGTCTAAGTAAACCTGCACTGCTGGGTAGTAGGATTGGACTCAGGCCACCAGATCTGCCTGCCTGCAAGTGCACTTGTGGACCCACTTCAGTCACCTCAACCAGTACATTCCTTTGTACTTGTCTGAAACTATAGCCTGCTTTGCCTTGCTGCTTGGGATTCTCTGAATCCTCTTTCCTTTTTTTTTTTTTAATCTTTATTTTACATTTGTGTGGTACTGAGGATCAAACCCAGCACCTTGTGCATGTTAGGCAAGTACTGTACCACTGAGCCACAACCCCAGCCCCCCCTCCTTCCTTTTGATTCATTCACTTTGACCTCCCCAGAGGTAGTCTTAATAACTCTAAGAAACATGTCATTTAATTGCTAAATGGATATAGGATAATTTCATCTGCTGGTATAGTGAAATAATTCTATAAATAAGGAAATTCCCAAGGAAAAAATGCAGTGCACCATGAAGGATGATATTGTCAAGTCTGTAGTTTGGGACTATTTGGTTTCTGCTTTTTTGAACAGAAGTATTTTGTGAAACATACTGTTATACAAGTATAAGAGACTGAAGACTTTACAAAGCAGATTAGGAGATAAAAAAAACTTTCACTTGCTTACATTGGTGCCTGGCATGACATACTTTTAAGGCATCCTTTAATGTTCTTCAGAAAGATACTATTATCCTTTATAATTGAGGAAGTGATGGCATATACCTGCAAGGTTACCCAGCTCACCAATGGCAAGAGTTGAAACCATGGGATCAGAATCTAGGATATGCTCTTAATTCCTGTAATAATGGCAAGAGAATCTTGATTTTTGATGCTATGCCCTCTTAAATTCCCAAAATGGTATAGCAAAACAATAGGGTTCTAGCTCTGCCACCTACTAGCTATGGTATTGGTCAGTTAGGCTGAAGGAACTATCTCAGATTGTACATTTTAGCATTGTGGCAACCAGGAATTGAAACAGGCAGTGATTAAGGTGGAAAAGTCTTCAGTCAGTCTAGAAAACAACGTGCACTTTAGCTGGATAAATTGGAAACAGTGAGGCATCTATAGGGGAAAAAATGACTTATGATCCTAGAAAAAGTCAAAGAACATGGACACTGCATTGCACTTTTTAATTGCAAGGGTAGTTTTAAATAAATGAAGAAAGCACCTTCCAGAAACTACAGTAGCAGGAAAAGATTCCATCAAGCATTTACATAGTAAATTTCTATATAATTTTACAAGATTCTTGATCTTTACTTGAATCTATTCATAAGGAAAAAGGAGCCCCCTCAGATAGGTGTTTTTTCTGTTTGCAGAGGCAAACTAAAGGACCTAAAATTGGAGGCAAGCCTTGATGCTTGAGAAGGGGTAAGAAAAACTGGTAAGAGGCCATTCATAAATTCCATTGTCTACTCTAAGACGCATCAGATGACCCTTACATAAGAATCATAGGGCAAACTACTGTCCTTGAAAGTACAATCTCAAAAGTTGTAGCTCTAAATTATAGTAATACGTGTGAGTAACTTGGACTGCTGGATATGAAAAGACAATACTTGGAGTCATCTGAGGTCTGAATCTAGGACTGTCTGCCCTCTACTTTGGCTTTTTTTTTTTTAATTCACTCTGGTTTTTTTTAGTTGTTGATAGGCCTTTATTCTATTCATTTATTTATATGTGGTACTGAGAATAAAACCCAGTGCCTCATGAAGCAAGCACTCTACCACAGAGCCACAACCCCAGCCCTCTACTTTGGCTTTTTGAATAAAGCACAGCTAGGCTTGTCTGCTCTCCTCCTGGCAGGGTCAATAGTCAAGGAAAAGGGCAACAGTCCTTAGACACTAATCAGCTGGGGAAAGAGTTCATTGGCAAAAGTGTCCTCCCAAGAATGGTTCACACCAAGTGGAGAGGACATGTCACTGAAAGGGGAAGGGGAGCCCTCATACCCACAGTCACTATAAGCATCCAGCAGGCAGGAAGATGGCTTCAGATAGTGGCTGGATGAAAGCAGATTAGAGATGCCCAGCTCTGGAATGAAGTCATCTTCTACAGGTTCTTCCTTCACCGACACAATGAATTCAGGGTGATCATTCTCAGAGGGGCTGAGAGGTGCTTCCTCGATTTTTACTACCACATTAGTTTGGCTTTCTGTCTCAGAGGGCATCTCTAAGACTAGAGGCTTGGTGTATACATGGTCAAAGCGAATTAGTTCATTAATGGCTTCCAGCTTGGCTGATGACGTCCCCACTGACAGAGAAAGGGAGGCTGGTAAGGAACTAGGTCCTTCTGGATAGACCTCTGGTAGCTCCTCCAAGCTGGTAGACTCTGGGGAAGGACATCTGAAGAACATGACGGGGTCCAAGTTGTCCAGAATGCCCAACAGGATATCAGACTGCAAGAGGCAAAAAATAAGAGTGCAACTATTAGGCTACCTAGAATCTGTTAAGAACACTCTTAGTACTGGGCTTCAAAATGTAATCTTATGGCCTGAGGCTGTAAGATGACCTTAGGACCCAACTGACTTGTTTATCCATGTCCTAAGCCTCTGAGAACTAAGGAGATAGTTGATGTTCATCTCTAACCCACTAAAACGAACTTTCATCTGGAGATGAACTTTTGCCCCATCAGGGATGTCAGACGTCAAGGACATGAAATGACCCAGTTATACAGCTCTTAGTAAGACAGAATGGTCCCTACCTCAGAGTCTGAAGAGTCAACACTGTCAGAATCCACGGGGAGATGTTCTGAGGGGATGACAACTGGGCCTGCACCTGCTGCAGAGGTGCACGTAGTCTGAGTGCTGCGGACTCAGCAGACCCGGCCACCGGCCTCACTCCATTCCCCTGAGAGGGAAAACCAGGGTGAGTAAACAGCCAGGAGTACCCAATGAAATGCTTACCAGCCTCTCAAGAAAGATTATTCCTTAGAGATGAAACTTTTCCCTTACCATTGTTACTTCCATTTTCTTCAGATCTCAAGAGATGAGGATATGATTTTTTTTTTAATACAGTGAAAAATTTTCCCTCCCAAGCAAAGAATCAGGTAGGATAGAGAGTCTTAATGTTCCTAAATAATAATATTCTATAGTGATTTAAGCCTAGAATCTTCTGTTGCTAATCTTGGACCACTTAGACACCATCACTGAATTTTCCATTATCCACAGACTAAAACCCATCCATCACCACCCTTTTTCACACTCTTCAGTGAATCCTCTCTCTTTACTCATATTCATCAGACAGTTACTCTAGCTATAGTCTGATCTGACTGGCTCTCATACTCTGGTTCTCCTTGATGCTTCTATGGTACCTGTTGTTGGCTACTGCATTTGTTAGCACTTACTCTGAGAGAACCATGTAACTTAATTATTAGCACTTAGTACTATTCACTACCCACCTGAAATGTCATTAAAGAAAGGACATCCTGCCTACATGGAAATGTCATAAAAGTAAAGCAAAACCTCAAGCATGCTTTTCATCAGAGATCTATAATGCAAACGTAATTTAGGCCATTTCACTTGGAATCAGTTCTCACATGTGACACCAACTAAAAATGACTTACCTTGGCCTCTGTCTCCTCTTCAGCAACCAGGGCATCCATCCCCAAGCGCAGTCGTAACTCCTGGTTTTCAATTACAAGGCCATGAGTTTTCTCTCGTAAAAGCTGATTTTCTAGCAAAAGTTTTTGGTTCTGTAAGAAAATTGGTAAGAGGCTATTTAAACATCTAATTCTTTCACTTGAGAATCCACCTGAAGTTTTACTACATTGGTTTTCTTCTTGAAATTTTAGAAAACTCCACATTTATGCATTTGTTCACAGTAGATATTAGAAAGCTGGCCATAATTATGAAAGACATAAAACCTATTTAAGAAATGCCATTTCATGGGGTCAAAAATAATGCGTGCTGGGGTTGTGGCTCAGCGGTAGAGAACTCGCCTAGCACTTTTGAGCCTTCAGTTGGTCCCCAGCCCCACATAAAAATAAAGGTATTGTGTCCAACTACAACTAAAAAATATTATTTTTAAAAATAACAATACATCCAACTGCAAATTGGATTTCAGCAAAGGATAACTTTTAGCTTTAATTTAGATATATCTTTTAAATATCATAACTTTTTAAAAAGTAAAAAAAATTTTACCTTGAACTGAAGGTTAAAAAATATATTAAAAAAGTAAACTGGTACTGAAATGATTCAAACTTTAAAAAGAACAATCTAGGGACTGGGGATATAGCTCAGTTCATAGAGTGCTTGCCTAGCACGCACAAGGCCATGGTTTAATCTCTCACACCACAAACAGTAATCAAAAGAACATAAATAACCCTTGTATTAGATAGCAGGTAAATCTTAGAAGGGAAAGGGAACTTTTGGCCAAGCCAGGAAGAATCTAAAGTTAAAGCAATGACTTCCTTTCTGCTCTTGCTAACTTCTTAGCACTCACTGACTACATGCTGTGAATACATGTAGCACCAAATTCCAGAGGGTCAGTCACTTCCAATCTCTACAAGTGTCCTCATTCCAACTATCTTATCTCTCCTAACTTGGTTAAACTTAAGCACATTCAAACAAGATCTAAAAGGGGCTAAAACAACTTGGGACAGAGCAAAATATCAAGATATTCACCAAGGAAGGACACACAACGTATAAGAGTTTGGCCTTGAGAAGTTTTACCTCTTCTTCCAAATCTACTACTTGTTGTTCCAGCTCACTCATCCGAGCTTTCTTCCGATCTCTGGCAGTCTGTGCTGCTACTCTGTTTTTCAGTTTCCTGAGAAGGAATATACCACACTGAGTCATCTCAAACCTTATTTATATCTTTATTTGAAAACTTGGCCAGCTGGTGCTTTCCTTTTAATTCACAGTATAAGGCAAAGCAATGGTAAAATACTTCAGGCTCCTCCCTACCATAAAACCAAAAGTACAGCCTTCTGTCTGTCTAGATTGAAGACTTGCTTTATTCTCTCCCATCTGGCGTCATCCATCTCGGCTCATCCTGGCCACAGCATCAGGACTGAACACAAACCCAATTCATGTTGCATCATAAGAATCTTTTCCCGTCCCCCACTTCCCTCCCCCGCTGCTTCCTGATTCCAGTTTTCTCACACAGGACCCAGCCTGGACAGATTAAATCTAGTGAAGGTTGCAATGGCTGTGACACAAGCTCTCCCTCCCCAAAACCAACTGCAGTAGGCGGATGACTGTTGCTCTAGGTTTGAGATCCTAGGCGGTGTCCTGACGAATGGACCCGTGTCTGGCTGGAGGAGCCATGTCTTACACCACAAAAGGCACCGTGATCATAATCATAAAAGAATGAACGTTTGCGAAGGACCAAGTGCCAGGCACATTATATACGCCTCTCATTTTAAAGCCACTGACGAAGCTTGACTACTGAGCCTTAGCGCTTCCAGCTTTTTCAACAGCTGTCTTTTCATCACTGCGCCCCTCCAAAACAGTAGGTAAATCAAGAAGAGGCGAATCGACTTCATGTAACAGCCCCAGTTTTCAGAGAGGCAGAGCGACCGTTCTGTGGTCACTCAGCAAGGTCTGGAACACAAGCCCGCATCCCCAGCTCCAGTCAGCTCTAATGAATCAGGAAAAGGTAACGAAAACCGGCCTGGGAAGCCCTGGACTCCACCCTGCACTGCGGGTCCGGTCAGTTCAGCCTTCCTGCCCCGTCCTGCCCTGCCCCGCGCCACGCTGGCACTGGACCGGCCAGGCCCGGGGCGCTCGAGTGCGGCGGGGTGGCCAACTCCCGGCACCCGCCCAGCCCCCTGTCAGGACTTCAGGGCTGTCCTAGACCCCGGCCCTGCGCCCACCTCCTCAGCGCCTTCTCCTCCGGGCTCAGGTGCGTGAGGCGCTGTCGCTTGCGCGCCTGGGGCGGCCCCCCGCTTGCCGCCTCGGGGGTGGCCCCTCTCTGACCCGGCACCATGAGCGGCAAGGCCGAGCCGGCCGGGGCTCCGGCGGCAGCGGCGGCGGCGGGCTGGCCGGATAGAAGCAGTACTTTGGGGGCCCCAGAGGCCGGGCTCGGCGCCGCTGCCACCACGACCATCGCCCACGACCGTCTACGCGAGTGCACGCCGCCGCCGCCGCCCAGCTGCCGGCCCGCCGCGCCCAGCCTTTCTAGGGTCGTGGCCGAAAGCGATTGGCCAGCGCCCCGTGACGCGCGGGGGAGCTCGCCGCCCATTGGTCCGACGGGTCCACCCGGGGCGGGGCCTGGGCGCGCAGCGTGGCGACCGCGATCCCCGGCAGAGGGAGCTGGGGGCCTTTTCGGCTCTGGTGACCCGAGGGACACCGCGCGGGGACTGAGGGGACCTCCGGGGGGGGCCCGAGGCTGGTGTGGCGTCCTCAACAAACGATTGTCTCCCCTAGGCTGACGCATTTTGTACCCGAAATGCCAGACTTTAATTCAAAACCAAGAGATTTCCAGACTTTATTTTTACCGGGACTCACAGATGATGACCTCAACCTGACCACAGTTTATCTCCTGCGTCACTTGGAGCCCCGTGGAGCGGAAAATAGGGTCGGATCGCAGATCCGGCCTTGGGTTGCGGGGAAACCCAAAACCCCTGGAAAGAAATTCCGCGAAATAAGAATGCACATTTCAAATTGAAGCTTATTGCGATGTCGTGGTCAACAGTATCTCGGGTGGTGGGAGTACAGATGGTTTAGTTTTTCTTTGCATTTCTACACTTTCCTCTATGAGTGCATATTGTTATTTTATCTCCTTACCTTGAGGTTCTGGGGTTGAACCCAGGGCTTCGTGCAGGCTAGGCAAGCACCTTACCACTGAGCACATCCCAGCCCCCATCACTATGTTTTAATGAGGACAAATTAAATTGGCACGTGTAAAAATGGAGACTTTATGTTTATTTTGAACCGCTTTTGCTCTGGGGGAGGTCCCTGGCACCAATGGAGAGGTTGTGGCAGAAAGAGTGCCAGGTGCTTCTGAAAGAGGGGTCTCTATGCAGCAAAAAGGGAACAATTTTGGCACTCGAAATATTAAAATGGAAAAATCTGAGACAACTTTTCAGATATGCATGTCCATCTCATTTTTTTTTCCTTTTTTAAGCACATTTTTTTAAGAACATTTTGTTAATTACAAAATGTTCAGTTCCTTGGAATTTCAAAGCAAAGCTTTTAACAAGAGCTTCCTCCTCTATGTTAAGCAATATTCCAGATTCTAGGGATGCAAAGATTACTAAGAACCGGTTGGTGGTGGAAATTATGCAGAAAGTGAACGCTTAAGACAGCAGAGTTCTAAGTAATTGTTTAGTGAATTAAGTCAGATTAACTCCCAATTCTTTTTCTGTGGGGAGGGAACAGAATGTGAAGAAGGAAGACCTTTTAAAGGGACACAGGTTTTTTTGTAATTCCCAGGACTGGACTATGTGTCTCCTAACATGTATTTTCTTCTTCCTTTTTGGAATGGGGAAATCAGGAACTATTTCTTTGAACTGGACTGGCCCTCTCAGGAGGTCCAGAGCACACACTGTTTCTGTGGGTTGGAAAAGAGGTGGGGGTAATCCGAGTTTCTTCAGGACAAAGAAACCCGCCTCAGCTTTAATTTCAACTTTAATCTTATCATGAGCTACTGGGTGCTCAACCCTGGCCTCTGGGATCTTTTGGAAGAAGTCTTTGAAGTATTTTCTGGTTGAGACCTACAAGTTTATGCGAAAAAAACTGGGAAAGCTGTGAGGCTCTGAAAAATGTGGAAATTTTAAAAAAGTTAAATCATTTAGGCATAAAAAGAAGATGCATGCAGTCCCTATTAATCTAACAGGGTAAGAATGAGCAACTGTGGAGAAGGCCCAAGATGTGGGGGTAGAGGAGAAAAAAATGGTGGATGCTGCTTTAGTCTTGGCTAACCGGACAGAGATGGAGTGTTGAATTTGACTCCCCAGAATTTGAGGGGCGGGGACTGAGAATTGAACCCAGGGGCACTCCACCACTGAGCCACATCCCTGGCCCTATTTTATATTTTATTTAGAGACAGGGTCTCACTGAGTTGCTTAGCACCTCACTTTTGCTGAGGCTGGCTTTGAACTCGCGATCCTCCTGCCTCAGCCTCCTGAGCCACTGGGATTATAGGTGTGCGCCATTGCGCCTGCCCCCCCCCCCCCAATTTTTTTCAAGGCTTTTTATCTTTTGGACAAACATTTAACATCACACTGAAAACAGTAATTTGACCCTTTGTGGATTGCTGTCCATGAAATCTTTTTTAAAAAACATTTATTTTATTTTTTTTTAAGAGAGAGAGAGAGTTTTTTAAAAATATTTATTTTGTAGTTTTCGGTGGACACAACATCGTTATTTTATTTTTTTATGTGGTGCTGAGGATTGAACCCAGCGCCCCGTTCATGCCAGGCGAGCGCGTTACCGCTTTAGCCACATCCCCAGCCCCTAAACATTTATTTTTTAGAAGTAGTTGCACACAATACCTTTATTTTATTTATTTATTTTTATGTGGTGCTGAGAATCAAATCCAGGGCCTCGCACGTGCTAGATGAGCATCTACTGCTGAACCCTCCATGAAATTGTATAGTCAACTACAAACCCTTGAACAGTTTCATATTCTCTGCGCAAGATCAACCTGATAATTCTTGCATCAGATGCCATTAATTTTTTTAAACATTCACTAGGCCCCTCTGATAAGAGCTATGAAATAAGTAAAATACAAGGGTCTCAGTCTTCGTGACATATGAGAAGCAGTGATGATCAAATAAACAGTAAAACATTAGGTTTAGGGGCTAAGAGAGCCCTTTTGCAGCATGCACAAGGCTGGGAGACCTATCCCTGGCAATGCAAAGAAAAAATAAAAAAGCAACAATCTAAAAGCTAAAATTCAGGAGCTGTTCTTTCTTCTATAATATCCACTACCTATTGAGCACTTGAAATGGGTCAGAGTTAAACTGCTTCATGCCCCAAAATGTGAATGTACTTAATACCACTGAACTATACCCTTAGAAATGTGTTAAAATATTAAATTTCACGCTCTGTGTATCCAACCACTATTAAAAACAAAACCAAAAGAGGGGCTGGGAATGTGGCTCAAGCGGTAGCACGCTCGCCTGGCATGCATGGGGCACTGGGTTCGATCCTCAGCACCACACTAAAAAAAATATATATATATATATTGTGTCCACTGAAAACTAAAAAATAAATATTAAAAAATTCAAAAAAATGTGCTGCAAATATGAAACACATTGGGTTTGAAAACTTAATATTTTTTAAAAAAATTGTAAAATATCTCATTGACCAATGTTGATTTAATGTTGAAATGAAGGTATGCTCAGCTCTGGCAGATTCTGTTTTTTGTTCATTTGTTTTTGGTTTTGTTTTGTAGTTTGGGTATTGGGCATTGAACCCACTGAGCCACATCTCCAGTCCTTTTTATTTATTTTTTTTTAATTTTGAGACAGTGTCTTTCTGAATTGCTTAGGCCTTGCTAAGTTGCTAATGCTAACCTTGAATTTGTAGTCCTTCTGCCTCAGCCTCCTAAATCCTGAATCATTAAGATTACAGGTGTGTGCCATAGTGTAGTGCCTGGCTTTTTTTTTTTTTTTTTTTTTGGTACCAGGGATTGAACCTAGGAGTGCTCAACCATTGAGTGACACCCCAGCCCGCTCTGTATTTTATTTATTATTATTATATTTTTAATTATTTTTTAAATTTCTTACATACATGACAATAGTGGAATGCATTACAATCATAATTATCCACTCACAGCACAATTTTTCGTAACTCTGTATATAAAGTACGTTCACACCAAATTATGCCATTATACATGAGCTGCTATTATTATTATTATTATTATTACATTACAATTCTTAACCATTCTGTATTTTATTTAGAGACAGGGTCTTGCTGGGTTTTTTAGAGCCTTGCTAAAGTGCTGAGGCTGGCTTTGAACTTATGCTCCTCCTGCCTCAACCTCCTCAACCACTGGGATTACAGGTGTTCGCCAGCACACCCAGCACTCCTGGTAGGTTCTTGATTAAGCCACCGAAAGGAATTTCAGGATACATCAAAAGAGACACAGCCAGATGCAGTGGCACATGCCTGTAATCCCAGAGGCTCAGGAGGCTGAGGCAGGCGGATGGTGAGTTCAAAGCCAGCCTCAGCAGGAGCGGGGCACTAAAAAACTCAGTGAGACCCTATCTCTAAATAAATACAAAATAGGGTTGGGGACTTGGCTCAGTGGTTGAGTGCCCCTGAGTTCAATCTCCAGTACAAAAAGAAAAAAAAAATAGAGGCACAAAGAAAGATATATATAAGAAAGTGAAGAGATTTATGTAAGATAGCACATGATAGAGCAGAATATACATTCAAATGGAGAAAGAATGTGGGTACTTAAGAAAGAGACACATTTTGGGGATCTTGTGTTCTTTTTAAAGGACTTTTTGTAAAAGTCCTTGAGAAGTAGGGAGGTGGTGAGGTCAATTCTATTAATCAACCCCATGAGCCCAATTCTATTAATCATGGAGCACAAAAGACAGGTCACAGTGGTCTGGTTCTTTCAGGCTCTCTAAATTAATGTCATCTGGTCAAAAGATAATATTTGGAATATATTCATATCATAAGCCTATAACAATATTTTCCCATGACTTTACTTAGTCTAAAGAAAATATGTAGGGGCTGGGGTTGTGGTTCAGTGGTAGAGTGCTCAGCTAGCATGCATGGGGCACTGGGTTTGATCCTCAGCACCACATAAATGTAAAATAAAGATATTGTGGCCACCTAAAACTTAAGAATAAATATTTTTTAAAAAGAAAGAAAGAAACTATGTAGTATAAATTAGCAATGCGCCCAGCTTGGTAATTAATGCCTGTAATTGGAGTAACTTGAGAGGCTGAAGCAGGAGGATTGCAAGTTCAAGGCCAGCCTCAGCAACTTAGTGAGACTATCTCCAAAAAATAAAAAGGTCTGGGGATGTGGTGCAAGCGGTAGCGCACTCGCCTGGCATGCGTGCGGCCTGGGTTCGATCCTCAGCACCACATACAAACAAAGATGTTGTGTCCGCCGAAAACGAAAAATAAATATTAAAAATTCTCTCTCTCTCTAAAAAAAGGGGGGGGGGCTGG